CTTTATCATATAAACATCATTGTGTGGCAAATAAACGCCAAGGAAAGATTTCTGCAACAGAAAAGTCAACACAAGACGGAAAGCCTTTACAAAAGTTTGAAAGGCGGAATATGAAAGCAATACAGTGCTGAGACGAACACGGAAACAAATCAGCAGCCGAACAAATGCTGTGGTTCAGAATAACCATCGAACTTTTTGAGGAGAGATTTAATTAGAGAAAACAGGAATTCTTTTTGCAACATCAACAGCAAGGAGCGATGGTTCAGAGTCCTACGGAAAAAAGTCATACATAAAAATGACTTTATCAAGCACATGGAACTTCAACCCGGGACCAAGCTTAGGAATTTAAATTGCAAGACTGCACGAGACGCCGAGTAAATTCAAGAACTACTGTCAGAGTTGACTGTCGGTAATGTAGCGTACTTTGCTGAAACTGTTTTGTGACAGTTCCAAGTAAGTGGTAAATCGACCGTAAATAATTCACAGAAAGTGTATACAAAGCTACAAATGCCTTGGACGAGTCATTGTGAATCCGCGGATGTTTAAAAGGGTCATCTGATTCCCCTGAGTAGTCAACAGTGCAACTGTAGGGTTTGGGGTCATATACGTTATGTGAGTGGACAAAAATACATAACTCGCGGAACAAAGGTAGGTATTCTTTTTTCGGAGAGCTAGATCAAGGAAATTTATAAGAGTGAGAAGTAGTAGATATGATGCCGGTATATGAGGCCGATCAATCGCTCCATATAGATTGACCGAACTACCTGGCTTCCATTAATAAACGGTAAATGACAATACATAAAATCAGCATATCTGTTTGCTGAAATGGTCTCTCCACCAGCACACACTACATTGTCAGTTTAAGTCAGTTTATTAAGGGAATGAGGCTTTCGCCCTTGAGCTCCCTATTCATATCGGTAGACAGAAATAAAGTCATAAATTACATCAACAAATGCGGAAAGTTCAAAAGTTAGCGAAAAGTGTGAGCCAGGCGCAAACTGCCGCCTTGAAACGGTTTTAATGTCGGACAGATTTCGGCTCTGTTGTAAACAGTTGGCAGAGGAAATCGAAGTCAACCCCAGGCAGCAGTGTAACTGCACATCGTACAATGTCCTCCTTAAAAGCTACCCCACTGTGACACTGTAGGAGGTGCGCGGTTCTAATCAGAAAGCATAATTTGTGAAAGACAACAGGTTATAACAGTTGGATGCCTTGCATGGACATATTACTAGCAGTGGGGCGGCACGCGTCTACTGTGTCTTTTCGCCCCTTCGGAATTTCCCGCACCCACGTCCACCTGTACTTCAGAATGCTGATTTTGGCACCAAAATCGATAAACTCATTTGAGTGCGTTATCTGACCGAAAAGTGGAAGGCAGGTTGAGTACCAAAAAAGAAAAAAATTGCCGAAATGACGTATACGTGTCCATGAGTGGCCTAGCCGAGTCGACACCCTACTTATTAACATAATTTTTGATGGACGACCTCCCTCGCTGATCTTGATTCGTGTCTTTATTTTCATCTGGCCAGATGCGGCGGGAGGCCACGAAGTACGATTGCAGCTTCAGTAACCATGACAAAACGTCCCCGGGACACTCCAACAGTGCGATTGTCGCGAATGGTGTTTCTCAGCAGCACTGCGGGCGCTGGGACGGCGGAACTCGCAAGAATTGGTTTATAGTGATAGGCGAATTCCGTAGCATTTACCGCGCTGCTTTTTCCCTTACCCGCCCGGGCTCGGGGACAGGATACAGTCAGGAAATCCGCAGGCGGGGTCGGGTGCAAGGGATGACAAAGCTGAAAGGCTCGCGTATGTGTGCCAAACACCCCAACGACGTTAAATACAATTGGCGACCTTTTCTTGCAATCATGGAGCACAGTGTGCGTTGGTTACCAACTGTGTCAAGGGTACACAATGAGGGTAAGGAAACCGCGTCAGAACTTGTATTGAAGTGGCGGTTGCCAGAGTTAAAACAGGTATTAGGAGGCCTTAAAATTCAGCTGGTAGGCAATTTTGTTGCGGGCATACTATTCTGGATGCAAACTCAAAACGTGTGACGCTGATTTACACATAAACGCAAATATTTGCTGAAAAGGCACGATAATATTCAGAAGTATGAACAAATCGGAGCCGCTGATGGCCTAAGCTTTTTAACGTCGTAGTTGCGTGAATGCGCATCTCGAGCTGCTCAAAGGAGTCTCCAGTCATGCCGAAAACGGAATGCGACAGCGGAGAACACTGTCGCAGGAAGAATGCTACTAGACGTGTGCAACAGATAATCCTCACCGATGAAAATGTGCTCCAGATCACCACCAACTCCAAATGGCCTAAAAATGTCTTTGTTCAATTAGGGAGACGACGAAGTCGAAATCAAGAGAGTTAAGAAACTTTGATCTTGGTGTTAGGTATGGGCAATGCTTCTAGCTGACATCATGGGAGGGTCTTTGGCGACAAACGAAAAGGCTAAAAGTAGTGTCAGGCGAATGCGGGTTCCGCGTTTCTCTCGCAGTGGACGGAATGTGACATGCAGACTATCACTATCCTCAATGAGACCTGTTATGCTTTAAAGAGTGATGTGTACAGTCACCTCCTCAAAGAAAATGCGATTTAAATGTTCGATTAAAACTAGAGATGCCTGACCGATTGACAGTTCGACCGGCGTTGTCGACTATGTCCACCGTGTATCCCACAACAAGGTGAGAACAGGGACGGTGACTTGTGTGCGATTTCCTTTAAAGTGCATGTGGACTTGTACAACATCTACGTCCCTCCTTCCCTCCCCACCTGGACACGCTGTTAGGACCGAGTCAAGAAGACCGGAGGCGGGGAGGGCGCAGGTGGATGGCATTGTCGTGCCGTACCTTAGTGTTCCACTCTACCCCCCCCCTGGTCCACGCAGCAAATGACCAGGATTTTAACCAACAACAAGTGGGTGGCTGACACGGGCGAAGCCGTAGTTAGCCTGACCCATTAACATTCCAAAGTCTGCCACAGTTTTCATAAAAACTAATCTACTCATATTTTGTGAGTAGACATATTTTTTACCACTGTCCTAGTCATAAGACATCGCATTTGAAACGTTAGGCAGGCGGAAGACGCGCGGTAATTTATTGTGCTGGCTTTACTTTAATTATGTTCCAGTGACGTAACGTTAAATTTTTTCTAAGTCATTTAGGTTAATCGCATGTCAAAAACTGGCATGAAAATGGTTTAATGCATAATTTGGATGTTGATGTGTGGTCGTTTCTCCGATGGAAGGACTGATCGCATCTCTTAATGCTTTGAAGTATGCCAACAGTCGATATCTATCATTTTAATCATCACAATGTCAGTGTAGGAATTGGGGAATCGGACTATCCAGCTAAACACAGTTTTTTTTACACTCGCTTAGATTTCGTCCTCGGATGCATGGGTCACCGCGACTGAAAATTCCATCAAGACCCCACACAGAATCACTTATCAGTGTCCTCTAGTAATTTATTCTACCGCGTTTCTCTGAGAGAACAATTTAAAATAACGCTGGGAAAATTTGAACGAATTGCGGGAGAGCGGATTCGTTCAGCGTCCGTAATTGTTCGATGTCGTTCAAATTAAACAGAAGAAACCTAGGGAATACGTACGCCCTATTTCGGCGGGCGGTTGGTCTGTAAAGCACATGAAGAACGGGTTGAACTTGGCGGCAAAGACGCTATCGACAAGTGCGGAGTATAAGGCAACTTTATGTCCGCAGTCAAAACTCAAATTTTTAGCACTACAGAATCTGAGCGCAATGAGAGCGGCTGAGCGGGTGATGGTAGGTATACAGCGTAAGGTTAATTTTACCAGACTGCAATCATATCGAAGATGTGACAACTGGTTTGTGGAAAGAGAGCAGTATAACAAAATTATGACAGCTTGCCTAGAATCTTTCCAGATTACAGCGTTTTTTGCCATGGGAAACACCTATAGGCTACTGTGTGCACAACTGTCGGAAGTGAAACAGATGTGCAGCAGGCTACGCACGGCCTGCGACAAAAGGCTATGGGAACCAATCAGTGGCATCCAAATAGAGGCCATGCCACCTCTTCAGCGTATACTTGCAGTGACGTGAATTCCTGTTGATCGTTGCGACACTGAGAAATTGCGCAATCCTGAAGCTTGCACGGTTCTTGCGAATTTCGCTTAATAAAAACGTCGACGTACAAACGAACTCGGGGGTGCATGCATATTTTTTTTTTAAAAATGGACCTCTTCCACTCCTAAGATGCGTCAAAAGATAGGAAAATTTTACATGCTCCGCATACAGGCATTTTCTGCTTTATTTCATCAAGAAAAAACATTTTTATGCGTTGTATTTTTCACCATACTCATTGATACGTTCCAACGGATGGATGACAGGTAGGGAGGGGGGGGGGCGGATTCCAGAAACGAGCTCCTTATCTCGTCAGTGTGAATAAAGCGATTAGCGGTCGATTAAAACTCGGGCTGAAAAGGGTTAGTGAACATTCTGATCTCCAAATGTTTTTTCGTGGGAGCGTGAGGAAAGAGAGTGCGGTAGACGTTGTGCTAGTCCAATATCATATAAACGAATGCTTGCGCAAGTCAACGTTTCTGCTCCCACCCTCCTGTAAAACACACGGTGGGCACCGTCAGTCATGACGTTCAAACTGTCAAGTATTTTGTACCTTTAGCTGGGCGTCCCTTCACTTTAATGGACGCAAAATGCCAACACAAAAGTGGCACTTTACGAATCCTGCTTTCGATTTTTCGCAATGATGTTCCGGAGATGCCGCTCGTCTGATCTACATCTACTCAATTTAGCCAGAGCATTCTGGGTATCACAAGTGAAAAAATACCCTTTCGCTGTTGAAAGAATAACTAAGGGCTCCCCACATTATCCGTTGAGGGCTTGCAAAACCGCGTCCAACTCCACACAAACAAACGTCTTAACTTTAGAAATTGATTCGCTGACAGGCTCCAATCTCCCAAATTGGAGTTCCCGGTGTCGAAGGCGACGAAAATTATCCGTCGCCGCTGCCGCTGCCGCTGCCGCTGCCGCCGCAACCACCACCACCACCACCACCACCACCACCACCATCATCATCATCATCATCATCATCATCATCATCATCATCATCATCATCATCATCATCATCATCATCATCATCATCATCATCATCATCACTCTTCTGCCTTTTGTTTTTAAATATGTCAAAATGCGAGCGACTGGTTAGCCTTGTAAGCCCCTTTTTTCCGCGGGTTCTGTCGCATAACCTGCAGCAATACGACTATTTTAGTTGTGAGTCCGCTGAACCCTAACTAAATATCCAGTATTAAACGTAAGGTAAATTAAGCGAACAGTCTGTCCTTAAAGCCTTCTACTCACATACGTCGCGGTGTCTTTAAAAGGCATGGGCAAAGAAAGAGACATCGCTGGTAACGAATGTAGTAATTAATCAGACATTTGCTACAAACTGACAGGCGAAACCAGAAGTTGGTGCACCGTCTTTCACCGTAGGCATAGCTGCCATAAAACATGAACAAATGTGGCGTGTTATGCAAAAACCAGGTGGTGTGTCATGCGCAGAAAAGCTCTTTAACTCTGTCAACCACTAACACCAAGACAGCGCATCAGATAACCGACCGGCCTGGACAGCCGACCGATGGCTAGGAGAGGGAAAAAAAACCCCGTGGTTGCACTCCCAATTCAAGTACAGATTCCAGCTCTGGGTTCCTTCATAAAGGGTGATATAATTTTTCATTATGACAACGAGCGTTTATTGAGGGTTTACAGTGTGGCCTGAGGTCTCAAGAGGCGAGCTTAACCGTCAATCTCTGCCGCTATCACGCTCTAAACAATCTCACCCTCAGTCGGCTTGAGTCGGACGGACCACTGGTTTATGCAAAGTAAAGACGAGAGCTTGGTCTATTCAGAGTTCAGTCGCTTACAAGCACACCCAAACAGGCCACGAAACTAGCATGCAAAGGGCCTTGACAAGTAAGGTCGTCAACTGGATGTATGCCTCTAAAGACCAACGACCAAACTGAAATGGGTAGTTCTTTGTGCGACTGTTGTGGTATTCCCACTTGCATGATTTCAAAATACCTCCTGAATGACGACTGGTGCGTGGGGAGTTTGGGTCCATGTAAAGATGTGTGACACACCTACAGTAGATGTGCTAACTCATGAAATGTCAACCAAAATTTCGAAATGCGTTCTCGTTTCGAAAAGATAAATTAAGAAGTGTTGTAAAACTAATCGTGATGCAGCATAAATCTATAATATACCAGTTACCTCAGGGTATCGGCTTTCGAAAGAACGTATTTTCGGCTGCATGCGAGATCTATATTCTGCAAAAAATGACTACTTCAGTAGCATGCACTTTTCTCATTGATTATCGATGCTCTTGAAAATTAAATTATGTTTCATGGAAAACATGCATAAAATATTCATTCTTTTACTTATTCGGTAGAAAATCATGTCTTCTTCCAATTTCATACTCAAAAGAAGAGTATAATTCGGTTTTAAAAAAGTTTCTAATTGTGAAATTTTCTAATACTGTTAAATGGCCGTTCATGAAACGTCATGTATCTGCATTTACGAATGTGGCTTGTAAAGTTAGCAATATTGCTCAAATCCACTGCTTAATTTTATGAACCTCATATGGTCTCCTCTTAACACCGTAGAGAAATGCATGGTTTTCCGTACACGGAAAATATACAACTTGTAGTTTTGAAACCCTGAATGCAAGTGTAACAGCAGGTCGGGTTCAAAATTATTCGGGAATTAGAAAAGTTTTTTAAACCGAATTATACTCTTCTTTTGAGTATGAAATTGGAAGAAGGCGTGATTTTCTACCGAATAAGTAAAATAATGAATATTTTTATTTATGTTTTCCATGAAATATAATTGAATTTTCATGGGCATCGAAAATCAATGAGAAAATTGCATACAACATAAGTAGTCATTTTTTGCAGAGTACAGATCTTGCATGCAGCCGAAAATAAGTTCTTTCGAAAGCCGACACCCTGAGGCAACTGGATCATTACAGATTTATGCTGCATCATGATTAGTTTTACAACACTTCTTAATTTATCTTTTCGAAACGAGAACGCATTTCGAAATTTTGGTTGACATTTCATGAGTTAGCACATCTACTGTAGACATCTGGCTGCGGTTTCCGTACATTTTCTCCTCACTGACATGCGGCGGCTGTGGGAAGAGAGAGAGATAGCTCCAACGCAGAATCTGGTCTCCTGCCGGCAAATCCACGCCAGATTTAGCACTGCGCTCACCTCTTTGGGCAGCAGCGATGGATATCGTCGTTTGAAGCAGCCGAGCTATGGACGTTTATCAGAGGACACTTCCCACGTAGATGAATCAGCGCGTCCTTGCGAGTCCTTTCTCCCACAGAAGGGCCCTATTCGGAGCTGCCCACCTTTTGGCTGCCCTGCCTCCATAGATAAACATTATAGGGTGTAGGACCCACAATTAACTCGATCTAGACTGTAGACCGTGTCATACGTTGAGTGGTGGTAGTGGGGTTTTTATAGGCGGGACAACACACAGGACGGCGATCAAGAAGGCACAGAAAATGATAAATTTCTGCCGAAAGTCCTCTCGCTCGCTGTCATTTGACAAAAAAGTGAGCGCGATAATTAAAAAATAAACAAAAAGCAATTGTCAAAATATAACCGACCAGCACCGCCGGTAAGTTTGCATTTAGTCAGTACGGGAAGGAGATTTTAAGCAATGGGAACAGTGAATAATACAGTAGGTGGGCTACCTCATAAAATGTCAACCGGAGTTTCGAAATGCATATTCGTTTCGAAAAGATAAATTAAGAAATGTTGTAAAACTAATCGTGAAGCAGCATAAATCTATAATATACCAGTTACCTCAGGGTGTCGGCTTTCGAAAGAACGTATTTTCGGCTGCATGCGAGATCTATATTCTGCAAAAAATGACTACTTCAGTAGCATGCACTTTTCTCATTGATTATCGATGCTCTTGAAAATTAAATTATGTTTCATGGAAAACATGCATAAAATATTCATTCTTTTACTTATTCGGTAGAAAATTAGGTCTCCTTTCGATTTTATACTCGAAAGAAGAGTATAATTGTGTTTTAAAAAACTTTTTTAGTTCCCAACTAATTTTGAACCCCCACCTGCTGCTACACTTGCATTCAGGATTTCAAATCTATAAGCGGTATATTTTCCATGTACGGAAAACCATGCATTTCTCTACGCTATTAAGAGGAGACCACATGGTGTTCGTAAAATGAAGCAGTGTATTTGGGCAATATTGTTAACTTACAAGTAAGTGCAGAGACATGACGTTTTATAAAAGGCCATTTCATGGTATTACAAAATCTCACAATTAGAAACTTTTTTGAAACCGAATTATGCTCCTCGTTCGAGCATAACATTAATAGACGACGTACGTGTCCACCAAATAAATAAAAAAATGAATATTTGTAGACATTTTTCTCATGAAATATAATTGAACTTTAAAGGACATTGTAAATCAATGAGAAAATTTCATTATATTTAAGTAGTCATTTTTTCCGAGTCTAGTTCTTGAATGCAGTCGGACATAAGTTCACTCGAAAGAAGACACCCTGAGGTAACTGTAAAATTATAGAAGTATGCTGGACGGTGATTAATTTTACAACCATAACTGATTACTATTTTCGAAACGAGAACGCATTTCGAAATTTCGCCGACATTTCATGACTTAACCCACCTACTGTAGGTGATGTTTGTAGTCACACTGAATTTTAGGGTATGTTTTTGGAGCTGCCATCTACTTGCGGATCCTACACCCTATCGTTATCTGCCTAGAGCAGGCGTCATCCAGGCAGCAGACCGATTATTTTTGTCGTAGACCAAGCTCACAGTTGGGGCAGGCTGCTTTGACTATCACTGTGTTGACCAGACTGGGCGCACGCCGCAATAAAACATGCCTTCCGAACGCAATGGACGGCAAGACAAGTTTCTCCGCCGCCGCCTCCTGGGGATTTGCTTATTACACGTAGGCGGGCATGTCAACATGTCTCAAAAATCATCCAACTACACATCGTGCACAAGTCCACCGACGCAAAACCACCAGGGCAGACGCAGAGATTATTTACTCAACATTCCACTGTGTGTGTCCAGTTGTTTACTCTGGCGGACTGCAAGAAACTCTCCCCGCCCCACCTCTTCCCACCATCACGTAAACATCTTTGCAGCGCCGGAGCTGGCAGTCGGAGGCGGGCAGTCTGTGGTCCAAGCAGATTTGCGTCACTGGACACGACCTCAACAGGGATGCGAGGTTGGCAGAGGACAACAAGGGACTCTCGGCGGCTGACTGAAAGGAGGGCGTTCTTGATTGTGATGAGTTTTTGTGTCTATGAAGCTTACAAAGATGGACGATCGGCCACCTACAGTTCTGAGGATACGTATTCGCGTGACCAATCTTTCCCATGATTACTTTACAGTGTCAGCTGAATGTTACGCGGTTTAGAGATGTCAGGATTGGCATATTGCCAGCCTCAATGAAATCCATAACTTACGTATTGGCCACTTACTTTCGTTGGGCAGACATCATCAGTTTGTTATCGAACTTAAAAATGATACTTCCGCCAGAAGGTTCGTCATAACCACTTTCGGCGTTTATGTATCTGTCCCAAAAACGTAGCGCTTGAAAGTATGTTTACCCTAACTGTTGGCTTAGTGGCAATCGAGGAGAAAAAAGCCGGCGCAACTTTTGAGATAGTGTAATGGAAATGCCCATCCACTGATATGGTAAAACATCTAATTATAATGACGGGTAGAGTTCAGTCTTCAGACGATCCAGAATTGCACAGTTTAGACACGTGCACGTTATTGTGGGATGATATTACCGGGGGTTGGTTCTGCTGGTGTTATTGCTGCCCCAGGCCTTACGAACGGTGTTGGTGGTTCCGCGAACTACAACGCGGTCTGTGAGTGCATTTCAGGTGGGCTGGAGGTGTTTATATTTCAATCTGACTGAGATTACTTTTGAAGTATTATGGTTCGCGCCCATTTCCCGCATCAGTCAACTGATCGTCTCGGACAGTGGCTGGGCTGGGGAATGGAAAGGGAGAATGAGGTCGACGACTCAGCGTATTTTCCTCACTATAAACAATCTGACGCCCCTGAAGCTAACATGGTGCACTTAAAGCTGCGTCCTGGAAGGTTACTAACTGACGGGATAACTTGGACCTCACTCTAACTTGATTCAGCCAAAGGCCATGCGTCTGACACCTGTGGACGTCTTCGATTAAGGCAGTCGGTCTGCCTGTTCTTGCCGGTGACACTTTTTAAACAATATGCATTCTTTTCGAGCGACAGTTTTTACTCTACTGAAGAACTACTCAATAACAAAGAGGACTGTCCATGGAGGGTAGCACCCTATGGTCAATGTTTTCAGTGCCTGAAAATCGCTTCAGTAGTACTACCTACTTGCAGACTTATTTTAAAAGTTCTAGGAAAGCTTTCGTTAATGCTGGCGGGTGACTGAGCCACCCATAATTTATATTAGCCTAGAAAACTCTGAATAAATTGACATTCAAGTAATTTAAGATAAAAAATTCCGTCTCCATAGGTTTGCTTGGCTAGCTGACCCCGGGAAGTTAGCCGGAAATGGTTATTACAGTAGTACCGGACAGTCTTAATTACACACGGCTCAAATTTTCTAGGTAAGGTGACACCCAGGCAATTTTGAGGACAGAGAAGTAGGTCCTCGATTGGTACGGCGACGGTGCGACACCAAATTGGTGTTCATAAACCAGCCACAGTTGGCCAACCATTTTTGCGGTTTAGAAGTGAACTAGGGGGGTTCTGATCTTCTAAGTGGTCTGTAGACACCAATTAATACTCTTTAGTCGAATGCAGAAATCCACTATTTGTGGCGACAACACAAATGGTCAATACGGGGTTCACCCTTCTATGCGCGGTTTAAAAGTAGAGCACTCTTCTAGGAAGAACGAAAATCAAAAGAGGCAAACAAAGGTGCAGAAACACTGAAAACGGAATGTCTTTCCACCAAGGCTGCCCCAAAAGACAGAGTGGCAAAACATCAATGCTAATCCCTTGTGTTTCCAACCTGATGAGTAAATTTATGCACAATGCGTACGGCGGTGATTAACACAGGCTCGCACAAAACCGGTTTAGGAATCAGCTGTAGAAAATACCTTAACCCACGCCCGAATCGACAGCAATCTCGCCTACGGGTAGAGTTCTTCCGCTTCGATAAACGTTATACTGACAAAACACCCAGGAGAACCGGGACCTGTAAATCCTTTAAGAAAAACTAAAAAGGCAGTACGGAAACGAGAATTTGAATTTACCCACGTAATAGCTTCGCGGGTTTACAACACGGGACTCTAGGCAGACTTCCAAAACCGTCATTTTTATGACAAGGTTGAAACAAGTCTCGTGAAGAATTGTTGGTCGAAAAAGTCTGCCTTGTAAAAAAACGACCGAGCATGCAACTGACAGAGCAATACTGTTCTGGGTGAACACTGCTGGCAAATTTCAACCCATCGTCAGCTGTTCCCCTCGTCAACTCATTTTTTCCTACGTTTAGTATTTACGTAACTGGGTTCCTGGCCATCAGCTAGTTTGACTACGTCGTTTTGAGTTCATTTCTTCCACCTGAGCGACCGTTATTTCCCAGAAGATTTGCATTCCTTACTGTGTCCTTGATCGATTAGAGCTGTAAACCTAGTGGGACTGCAACATAATTTCATAATATTTCAGTTACCTCACGATCCCGGCTTTTGAATGAACTTCTTTTCGGTTGCGTGCGGAAACCACACTCTGCAAGCAATGACTACTTAATTAGCCCGCGTTTTTCGCATTGATTTTCGAAACACTTGAAAATTAAATTGTATTTCGTAGAAAACACGCGTAAGAATATTCATTCTTTTGCTCATTCTGTGGGGAATCAGGTGACTTCCAATGTTATCCTCAAAGAAAGTGTATAATCCGGTTTTAAAAAAGTTAACAATTGTAGGATTTTTGCCTTGCGTAATTTCCGAGGAAATTAATTCGCGAACCTGGAGTAACTCTTTCGAAACATTAATTTCCTCGGAAATTAAACAAGGCAAGTTTAAAATGGAGTTAATATATTAGAAAACACACGGGCAAAGCTGGGGGACCCACTGACGAGTCGAACCCCTCACAGGTGGGTCAGCAGCGGCATAAAGTCGTCGAAACACGCGTGTCTGGGCTTTCAGCTAATACCTGTGTTGTTAGTACGGTAAATCATTGCACAATTCTGTAGGATTTTTAATACCGTGAGATGGCCGTTCATGAAAGTTCATGCCTCTGAATTTACCAATAAGGCTTGTAGAGTTAACAATATGGTTCAAATCGATCGCTACAATTTATTAAACCCATATAGTCTGCTCTTAATGCCGTAGTAAAACGTATGGTTTTCCGTACACGGAAAATATATGGCTTGTAGTTTGGAAACCCTGAATGCAAGTGTAACGGCAGGTCGGGGTCAAAATTATTCGAAAATTATGAAAGTTTTTGAAAACTGAATTATACCCTTCCTTCAGATATAAAATTGTAACAAGACGTAACTTTCTACCACATGAGTAAAAGAATGAATATTTTTATGCATGTTTCCTATGAAATATAATTGAAATTTTGAAGGCATCGAAAATTAATGAGGAAAATGCATGCCACCTAAGTAGCCATTTTTACAAAGTCTATTTTCTATATGCAGCCGGAAAGAAGTTCATTAGAAAGCCGACATCCTGAGGTAATTGAATAATTATCGAATTATGCTGAATGATAATTAGTTTAACAGCCCTACTTAATTAATCTTTTTAAAACGAAAATGCATTTCGGAATTTCGGTTGACGTTTGATGAGTTAGCCACCCTGCTATAAGTACATAAGCTCCTGACCATCAGCTTGCTTGACCACGTTGCTTTGAGTTCAGTCCTTCCACCTGAGAGACCGTTATTTCCCAATAGATTGGCACTCCTTACTTTGTCTACTCACAACCGGACATCTTATTGATAGTTTCTTTGACTTTCAGTGCATTCTGCGCCCGCAGTTTGCTCTGCAATAAGGCCTTTCAAGACGAGGGCGTGAGGGTAAAAAATCTTGTCCATCCGAAAACTTGTCGGCAAGGATCAAGTATGTGCGCGGGGTAAGGGAACGCTATCTGCTATTTAACAAATTCGCCAGCGATTTAATTCTCCTGCTTTACTGACAGACGTATACATTTCATCTAACAATAGTGCGAGCTATTTTTTTCCAGACTGCTCTTCGCGCCGAATTTTTTTAAAATGAACTTTGTTCTTACTAAGGAATTACGTGTGAGGGATGCAGAACAATGAACCAATGTAGACATTTCAATAACGCCGAGTCCTCGGGACGGTACAGGTCAGCGAATGTCATCTTGCCGTCGAAGGAATGACGAAAAAGTCCACCGAACAACACCTTTTAAAAAACATATTAAAGACAGTTTTCCATAGTTTTTCCCCACCCCACGCCAATACTTAACCCTTGCTTAGTTCTCGATATAAGTTTCTTAAAATACTCCCTCCCGCATCTCAGGATTTTCCGTTCTAGAAATTAACTGCACGACTGTCTGCCAGTAGAGGACTTCCGAGCATACAAGAGCGGCAAAAGTCTTACTGCGCCAGTTTTCAGTCGCCTTCCAACCTCTGTGCTTATAGGTCTTTTTAATACGTGTACTTAGTAGAAGGCCGATCGCCGGTGGGCGAGCGAGTGTGGTAGATGCTGGGCAAGTCCGTAATCACGATAAACTAAGGATTTTCCGACGCCCACTATGCTGTCGGACACACGATGGACATCGTGGTTTGTCAAGATCGAACTGCACACACAGTTACACCGTTTCTAGCTGCAAATGGTCTCAGTCAAGTGTACCGCTTCGGACACTGTCAACTTGTGACCGAGGAAATAACCTGAGAAGGACGAAGACAGCCCTCAGACCAATTCATCCACGAGCTCTCGTTAGAATTTGCTGGATCTGCTGTTCCCCAGTAAGGCCCGTGCTGCACGGCTTTTGTCACCACCAGGTGGTTGACAATCTTTTTTACAACGAGAACACTAGCTGATCCCCTAAGCAGTAAAAGTTGTTCTGCAATCAAGAATAGTACACATTATTGCAAATGGACGTAGGACCACCGACGTATAGGATTGTTAGAGATATAAATGACCGACTGTCTTTCGGGAACATTCGTTTTTCGCAACAGAATACTTTAATTTATGTGCTCGTGAGGGCCAGAAGTTGTTGGTAATCGCCGAAGTTTCGGCCGTAACGCATAGAAGTCTCCTCCTCCTCCTCCTCCTCCTCCTCCTCCTCCTCCTCCACCACCACCACCACCACCACCAACACCACCACCGACGACAGTTCGACCATCGATTTCGATGATGTCCACCGTGTGCCCCACAGACTGCATTGTGGAAGCAGGGACGCAGGGACATACGCAGGGGTTTATAGTGCCAGTAGACTTTCGTAGCATCTGCCTACACTCTCCCCTCCTCCCCCGCCTGAACTCGGTGTCAAGACAGAGTCAAGAAGACCGGAGACGGGGGAAGCTGCAGGTGGATGGCTCGGACGGATCCTCGCCTTGGCGCTCCACTCCGCACCCCCTGGTCCACACACAAATGACCATGATTTTGACCACAAAACAATGGGGTGATGGCAGTGGTCCAGTTTTGTGAAGATTGCCGAAAACAGTGTCCGCCAGCGCACCCCGCAAATGTTGGCATGTGTTATTGCGCACAGATAACGCCTGCCAAAGTACGATGTGGCCCCCATGTTGGTCCAGGGCATCTAACACGTGGCCCGTTTAGAGGACACCACCACCACCACCACCACCACCACCACCACCACCACCACCACCACCACCACCACCACCACCGTCCTTCTGGGCGTATTTTGCCTGTTAAACTCGCGCCCATGAAAGCAGAACGCCCGCCAATGACCTCAGGCCCCTTAGATTAGCGAACGTTTTCTGGCAAAGCAGGAGCGTTCTCTGCCTTGACATGCAAAAAACAGTAAATGTATTGGGAAGAAGACCCTTTTATCAGAGCACATGATGCCTTAATCAGTAATGTAGAGCCTGGCGACAGGCCTGCCTAAGGCCTGCAGCTGGGCGTCCTTCCTTGTCACCATGACAACTGGTGAGAACTGTGTGCATGTGAGCCTCCTATTACATCATTCTTCTCCTGATCAAGAGACAGATAAAGGGTCAGTTCGTGTTTTTCACCTCAGCTCATTCCAACATACTTGCGTAAACTTTAGCATTCGCCGGGGTTTTTATGGACAATTAGAGAGACTTGTACGACACGTACACAGGGCGTGGAGCTGTTACGTACGGTGCTTTTGTAAATCTTTGCGTTATAGGCGCTGTGAGAGCTTTCTTAACCAATCAGGAATTCCAACCGGCAAGAACAAGGCAGCTGATAATAAGCATTTTGTAGCCGTCGTTGACGTTAATCAGTCACAGACGACCTCTGGCTGTCAAGACCAGTATTACTGAAACACATCGTACGGAATAGTTATAGATATAAATACGCAAATCCTTCTCAGCCGGTATCAGAGAGTAGAGTTAGCATGGCATCCTGTGCGTACATAAGCCCACGTCTCGCATAAGTCCACTACTAGATATGGCCAACTTCTCTTTCCACATGGTGGGCTGAATTATTCTAGAAGATTTAGGTCAACTAGGCTTTCAACAACTTTCGAGGTACATTTTTAATCAGAGAAGAGGTAAAACTCCCTGAGCGTGGACGGCAAAACAGGTGTCGAAAGTCCCATCGACATGGATAACAACCTTGAAGCGTGGAGGAGTTCAAAGGTCTCGAGTTTCGTATGGGGTACCAACAGATGGAGACCATTTCATTTGGACACAGGTGGCCTTACGCTAAATTCGTGCGGTACCTATTCCCACGTCCTAACTTTAGCCTTGACCCCAACGTGGACCCTCCCGACCATAGACCTAATGATAACGCTAACCCTTCCAGCTCGTAACGTAATCCTATCCCTTCTAACCGCAGCATTATCTCTTACCCTAACCCTTGTATTACAGGCGACTTTGCGCTAAATTCGGGGGGTAACCTATTCCCCAGACCGAACTTTAACTTCAACCCAACACTAACCTCAACCACGGAATAGTTGACAAAGCGGTACGCAATCGAGTGAGTAATGGCCTGCACTTATATGGCAGATACAGTGCGTGACCTATCTCATGGAATCTGATAACGGAAACTGATATCAAATTTTTACTTGGCCTCACTGTGCAAAAATGCAAAGTTCACAACGATCCGCCAGCGGAGTGCTGTAATAAAACACTTATTAAAGAGGTAACTTATAAAGCAAAGTTTTCTTTTTGATCAAAGGCATATTTGTTGCCGATTTTCGTTGTGGACAACCATTTTTCTCGAAAATGAAGTTTGCTGTTTGAATGAGTCTGCACATATGAGCCAAACGAGCATCTTTGTAAAAAGGAGCGCCCGAACACTCACTTATTCAGTGAATGCCTTTAAGAATAATCTTATTTTAAACTTCTTAACAGACTGAAAATTCAAAATCTGTCTTTATGGACGATCGGAAGAAAACACTGAAAATCATGAAGAACTCAGCAACATTTCGAATCCGATCTGAAACTTACCGTAATCCGACAAGGACGAAAAGTGTAAATTAATTTAACGAAAGAAAATTTCTCTTTATAAACACAAAATGGTATGCATACGATAACGCCTGTTAGTTTTATTTAAATTTATTACGCATCGACTGGCCTCATGGCATGCTGCCTTATGAAAACAATTGTTTCTGCGAGGTCCCCATCACTGAAATCAAGCAAATTTCAGCTTCTCACGTTGAATCCCATCTCATTTACTTCGAAAGAGTCAAGAATACCACGAATCCCTGGAAAACTGTTTTGGAATCCACACCCAGAATGTAGGCAGTTGATAAACCGTCGTGTACAAAAGTACACTTATTCTCTAACGATAGTTAGATGTAAAATTCACTGAAACACTATTATTAAACGCTATTGCATTTGCACTTTCATTTTTACTATGTTTGCGGCATAAGAATACATTCTAAAAATCTAAGAACGAAGTTTACTAAATAAGAACCAATTTTGACGTTTCTTTAAAAAAATCGACACTTATAAACAACACTGCCTTAAATATTTGTTTTATGTTTTCAATTGTTTTAAACTTGTACTTAATTAACATAGACATTGGACTCATGAAATGGTGTCGGTTTGCGAGTGATTAGTAATCATCTCTAAATTTCGACACATTTAATGAGTTAGATAACACACTGTATACCGATACTATCTGGTTAATTGAAAACTAGAATCTTCATCCCCATCACCTTCCGTCAAGAGTGAATAACGCCCACTCAGTTGAGAAGCTTACTCTAAAGGCCGCTACGAAGGCATCGCCTACACTCCCAGGCGTCCTACTGAGGACAACAGCGGAGAAGACCGTTAGGGGAAAATACGTAATTTTTCATGTTCACGTCTTCTTGAGACGAAAATTGGTTGGGCACTTAGCAGACAGAATCTGATATACATATGCTGATAGCGGAGAAGAAAAACAATGGTTTCTCTTTAAAAGACCAACCGTCAAAATCAAGCGGGCGTCCAGCCGATCGGAGTCGATAGGAAAGAGCTCATTTTCGACCCCATTTTCAGAAATCAAACTCTTAAACCACCTTTTAAAGCTTGCCATAAAAACAACTGGAAATGTTACTTACTAGTCGGAACGAACTCGAACTAGTGGATTTTTTCCGAAACATCAAACCCCGCCATTCTTAGAATAAACGCTTAAAAGAGGACGTTATTTCCCTCAAACCAAACACAATGAGTGAAACAAATGCAGGCTATATGCATGCTGGGTTTTTTTTACGAACAAGCAGCTAAATAGAGGTTCAACCAAGAGCCAGCATATGCACTGCTCGAAGCAGTGTTTGTCTATGTTTCCAATTAATAGTCGCTGGAACCCTTTTCAAGGCATGTTTTCTGTCTGAGAAAATAAAGAAAGCCAGCGGCAAATATTTAAGGGGTTCCGGCGTTTAATCGGGGCGGTAAGAACTGTGGGCGCTGAGCAAAGAAGACTGTTTCGGCACCAAAACAGTCTGCCTACCGTTCTGAGTTTTCGAAATCGCGTAGGAGACCATCGTTACAGAGGTAGTAGCAACAACAGAAGGGCTGCGACAGCCAATTATCGCCCGATGACACAAAACTGGAGATGACTGCTCAGGGTTCTGCACGCCGGCGTCAGATTGATAGATGGAACTTCCGCCTCCACTGTAAGTACTGTAAAAATGAGTGTTTGCTAACCATCCATATTTTTGCCGAGCTCTTTTTATTCGGTCTTCAGGCAGTGCAAAAAAGGCGCAGTTCACTCTAGAAAGCCCATTTAGAGATGTATTAATTCGTGTTTGAAGACTGGGAAACGTCTAAGAGGTCTGAGAGACAATGACTATATTTTCAAGAAATAAGAAGAATAGCCCGCTGTGTCACTAATAGGATGCGAAGGCCTTGAGTTTTTTTCTCGGATCAACCAGAGGCCAGCTCACCCTAATTTCCAATAAATTCGAAGCCACTGGAGCATCGGAACCACTTATTTAGTTTGTCGGAGCTTTCGAACTTGTACGGCAGTCCACAGTCGAAGATAAAAGCAGCAACAGAACAGGCAACAGTTATTGGGCGAGGGAAATTAGCCAATAGGCGATCAAAAGTTGAAATTCGCAGCTGCTAGGATATTCGTTCTCGTCGGAAATTAACTGAGGCTTGGGTCTCACAGTGAAACTCGGTTAATCGATGCATCGATATAGCACCGGCATACAGAGCCTTGCGCAGTCACCTCCAGACCTGTGTCGATGAAGTTTGACTTGCTAACGCCCTAATATAACTGCTGCTTATTTTGCTGCCGTTTTTATCTCTGCGGTTGCAATTCTGCAGGAGTTCGGGAACTTAGTAGGATAAACAAATGATTTTGGCGCTCGACATCTCTTTTTCTCCGCTCAAACATTTAGGTGGAATACGAAAGTTCGCCTCCATCTTAGAATACAAAAAGGCTACTTGAACACGGGTTTCTGGACTGTTTGCTGTCATCAGTCAACCACATTACAACACCCCAGGTTTTGTCTAACCGGGGATCTAAGAGCTCCTTCATTTGGTCATTCGGCTTATTTATCCGCCGGCAGATTCGTCCAGACTCGAATTTATTCAGTTGCAATTGTAAATGCTCTGTTACGGCTTGACGGATATTCTCCCTTTTGGCCAGATCTCAATAGGGAGTGGGGTCTTTTCGTTTTCCTCTAGCCCCTCTACTCTGAGACGACTGTCTAACATCGAGCTGTTCGGGATGGAAGTCTATGTCTGTCCCGTTTTCAGAAGGCATTTTGTGAACTGTTATTTTAAAAGAGTTTTACATAATTTAACCGAGTGCGAAGTCATCCTATTCTGGATCTGAACCAAGTAATTATGGAGAATGATGTTCAGGAAGGATTCTTAAGGTTGGACTATAATACCCACCTCCATCTTGAAATTAACCCGCCCAGATCGTACTGTATCCTGTGAAGTCAGCAACCCCCGACACCACCCCGATGTTCATCGCTGTTCGTGATGACTACGAGATCGGCACGAGCATCTATCCCAAAGAAACGCGCATATTTCTAAATTGTGAATGTCCCCTATGTCCCAAATCAATGCATTATTACACCTCACTCGTCATTTTGAATGAATACCTTAGCGTATCGCTTGAAATAAATCATTGCAAAGAACCTTGCCGAACGACTCGCAAAATCCACCACACTGACCGTCGAAAAGAAAACCTTGTTCCTCCAAGTCCCTTTCCAAGGAGATGCTACGAGCGAACTTCGAAGAAGACGCTTTGACCAAGCTGTCTTGGGCACCTTCCTAGCAGCAAGGGTCCGCATATCATTCCCTACTAACCCTATTTTACGCGGAGAAGGCAAGGATAGGCTGTCACCTCAGACCGCCTCAATGTGCATCTACTCACTCACTTGCTCCTGTGGAACAGGTCGTACGAGTCGGCGTATTTCCAAAAGAATACTAGAGCACCTTCCCGCATGGCTGGCAAAAGGTGAGACCAGGAGAATAGACAGCGCCATCCTTGCGCACGCAGTGGATTCAGGGCATCGTGTGGACCCCGCTGAAGCATTTCGCGTTATTTATAAGGTCCTCTCGAGCTTCCCCAAGCTACTGGACCAGTGTCTGTTAACAACAGAAGAAGCGGCCGCCATCAGGTTACGAAAACAAACCCTATGCGCCCAGAAGAACCTCGTTCAGGCCCCGCGCTTACCGTGGTCAAAGGTTGACTAACCACTTACAACTTTCTGTGCCCTTCCGCTCTTGCTTAGCCTGTATTTTAAAAACTAACTTTTATCGATTTTTTCTCATTCTGTACCCTGTCCTATATAATTGTACTGGCCTGACGAGAAGATATCGAAAGCAACGTTCGCCCGCCACTTTGTCTTCTGAATTAAATCCCCTTTGTGTCGTCGTAGAAAATTACCAAGTCTGTTTTTTGCTGCGGAGTTGTAGCATACGCTGCCGCCAAGCAAATAAGTAGTGAGGGGATACCTTCAAACCAATTATTTCTGACGAAGACAGTCGAGAATCGGTCGAATCCCTGTAGTCCAGGTAAGTGAGTATGGTTGAAATACTGTCCAAGGCAGCATTGCTGAGGCCAATAATAAAATTCAGACTTCTCAACGGAAGAAATTAGCAACCGTACAAGCATGAATCCCCGGGGGGCGTGGGTGATTGGGTTTCAGTTTAGCCCACTTTCCTTCACAAAAAGGTAAGGACCAATCTCAAAGGTCCAACATTAGCGCAAACTAAGCAAAAGCTCTGATTTATTTCCCCAAGCCAATGCATACATATCCAGTAATCGAATTTATAGAAGAATCAATGTATCGAGCGGTCAGAATCGTTCCGTATTCAAAGCACGTACGAGTAGCTGATCTAAGGTTGCTGACCACAGCGTGTAATTAATGTACATAATTTACTATTTCACTGATATCAATAGTTAGGCAAGATGCGACTTCCCTCTTCCGTATTAGGAAACGCTGTCCATTTACGGAAGTTTAATCGTCTTGATTGACGATGTTCACCGTGTGCTCCAAAGCATGGTGAGATTAAGCGCAGAACTTGTGCGTGAATTTATTTATAATGGTAGTAGACTTGCGAAGCATCTGCCGCACTCTCTTCTCGTCCCCCACGTGGATCCGGTGTCAAGACAGAGTCAAGAAGACCGAGGCGGGGAAGGGCGCAGGCGTCTGACACGGCCAGATTTGCACTTAGAAGTGCCACCACATCCCCTGGTCTACAAAATACCCTTGACCAACTACAACAACACCCCAACAGGGCTCAGAAGGACGACGAGGATGACTGGGCAGCCATGCTCATGACCTGTATATTTAGCGGTCCTACGCCTCCACACTGAACCGGGTATTGATCTGGGTTCGCTTTGCTTCTGCGCTTCTGTCCACATGGAAGTGCCTGCATGGGCTCTTCTATCTCCTTTGAGCGGATACATGCTGTACCTGGGCTCGGTGTCAAGACATAATCAAGAAGACCGGAGGTGGGAGAGGACGCATGGGCTGGCGCGGCCGGACCCGCGCCTAGACGTACCACCACACTCCCTGGTCCGCAGCAAACACTTGACCAGGATTCTAACCAATAACAGCAGCACCACAGGGGGTCAGGAGGACGACGAGGATGACTGGGCAGCCATGCTCAAGACCGGTATACTCAGCGGGAGCGCAAGCGCATCCACCGGGTGGGGACCAGGTGTCAGGGAACTGCCAGCGCATACCAGGCTGCGAGGGCCATGGTTTGCTGATACTGGCATGGCACACGCTGTCAGACCTTTTAACTGCATACACTTATACTGGGCCGACTGCAATGCTCAAGATATCCTTCAGTTTGGCAGCCTTCTAAGCGGAGGGGATGGCACAAGTCACCAGGCAAGCATGCGCACGACCTATATATTCAGAGGGAGCACAAACACAAATACCGACCGGGAACCAGGTGCCAGAGAATTACCAGCGCACACAAATTGCGAGAGCCATGGCTTGCTGGAAGTGTGGCATAGCATACGCCCACAATCCTTAAAGCCTAACCTTTGCCGTCTACTGACTGCATGCCTCTATGCATCAGCCTTCGTGCATTCTAGGCCGGAGCGCCAAAAGCAAAACGTGATTACACCTGTTTCGTTTTGAAATCAAAATAACTGGTTGTACAAAGCTTCTGTGTGGCCCCTGACTATTCCGGATCGCGACCTGCAGAGGTTGCTTGGATTGTTTGACCAGAATGGGAGCTGGACTGGGATAATCAGGCTGCGATGTGTCTGCGCGAACCCATCGCTTACATGAGGGATGTGGTGGTAGGTTTAGACGCAGGCTACACGCCGTGACAACAAGTGCGTTTAGTCCCAGCTGGCTTTCTCGAACTGTGGACTGATGCCTGGAAATGAGGTTGGCTCTGCAGTAGATGCGAAGAGACGAGTCCCAGGAAGCCTTTAGTCCATTAAAAAGTGCAGTGATCTTCCCCTTCCATACTCAGTGCTGAGACTTCGCTTAGATGGAGTAATTAGCCACGCGGGGAGCGCAACAGGTAAACACTTTTCCCAACGCCAGGGTCGGTGCGTCAGATGGTCGAACAATCATCACACCAACAGCCAACGCACGTGATGAGATTGCAGCAATGAACGACTCGAATGTCGGCCATCAAGCAGTCATCACGCCACGTGCAACGACCCCTGATGAAGAGGGGGGGAGCCGTGAACATTCATAGATATCGCAATAGCATGGCGACTGCATCCTATAAATACTGCAGCCCCCTTTTCATGAACTACCCGTATCTGCTGTTGTCTCTGATGATGGGTTCGAGCAGGAATCCGAAACGTCAGGCTAATAAAGCTCCTGTCCCAGCGATCGTGTCTCCTCCTTCGAGGTTGACTCCGGGCAATCCACCTCTGGGGCATATTAAAGCATTTCTCACTATAATAATTATGACGCGCTTGAATGTTTCACGACGCGCTGAGCGTTGTGGCTTGGAGGGCCGCCAACTAAGGGGGTAACTCGGTCCTCTGAGAACTGAGAGTTGGGCTAAGTGGTTACGTCTGAATGCGGACTACATGACACTCTCGCAAGTGTGAGATCCCAACTGCCCCAGGAGAGGCCTGATAACCTAACCAGGAAATTAGGACATTCTTGGAGCGCGCGTAGACGGGCTTCTTAGCCTTGTCACCCACTGCATCAAGCCCGTCTCTAATCGTCTTGGCTGTGTCTTCCCACGACACTCAGGTGGCTGGAGATAAACGAGTGCGATAGATGCTGCGCAAGTCTGCATCCCTAAAAGCCAATTTAGGCACTCAATGGGGTCCGAAGTAGAGTTCGTTGTTTTCGACAGTCGAACCGCCACCAATAGAACGCGAAGCCCTGGCATCAGTCTAGTCCGAATTCATATCTCAATTCTCCCTAATCTGGGATTCGACTCCGACAGACTACTAACGAAAAGTAGGCAAAAATGACTATTTACGTGTACTGTGCGTCTCTCTGTTACACTTGGCTCTTACCGACTGCCCGTAACTAGGCCAACAAGCGACGCGGACTGAGCCGCAAATCAAAACCGCATGTCGGCGTTCTGTCCCGCGGTCAGGCAAGTTCGATCAACGCATGGTTCGAGTGCTTTTCAAAATGTCTAGTTAAAAATAAATCTGAAAGACGTCTTCGATTTGCAAGGTCAGAGCGTCATAAGAAAAGGGAGGGGTTCCGACCCATGCTTATGACCGGGGATAGACAATTTTACGAATTCGAATGTTTCCGTTCGTAGGTCCAAAGATGGCATTTCCCCCACAAATACCTATTTTGTCAAATTCCATTCTTCTACGTCCAGGCATGCTCTTTCATTCTTGCCTCATAAACAACTAATTTGTCATTTTCCCAAACCGAGTCAGGTATTTATGAGTGGAAGTCAATTTTCACCCGTAGGAGACATGCGCCCAGCCAAGTCACGTGGAGTCCTTCTGCCCCAATGGCCCTGATTTTTTTTTCTGATGGCGTTTTTGCTGCCACTCAGTGAGGCTGCAAACTGATTTGCAGCCACAGTGGCCATGCTCCGCCCTAGAAACATGTCGTTGAGCTCCGCCCTCGCATAAGTATCCCTCATTATTGCCCGAAAAACATACTCTCGCAGGTTCAGTAGGCAGACAGCAGGGCCTTAATTATGTACGAATTTAGTCGCGCGCGCGCGCGCGCCCTCCAGGGCGTGGCTGCATTGTGCAGGCCACTTAAGCAGGACTTCTGGGTTGAGCAAGTGGACAACATCTGAGACGGAAGTTTTGATAATTCTGCTTTGCGCTGGACTGTTCAAAGCCACAAGTTTACAAACTCATGCGCTTCCTATAAATCTGGCCCCGTTAAGGCTTCGCTGATCTTTTAATATATTATCAGGAGCGAATGGGCTTTTGGATTGCCTGGGGATACCGTCAGACTGTGGGCCGTTTACTGGCTAATGTGTGAATATACAGCCATGCCACTAGTCTAGTTCATGCCAGAAAGAAAACTGGATTTATATAAAGAAGATGAAGACTCGATCTCTGGGACAGTGGGTTTATTAGTCTGAGCTTTCGGTCTCGTACAGGAGGCCATCGTCAGAGACTGTGAGAAGGCAACATAAAATGAGCGGTTTTTGAGGTCACGCCATGAGGGGGGGGAGAGATATGAGTGCAGAGGGTGGTATTCGCGATAAGTCGCGTCCCACGCCGTCTCACGGTGGCGTGACTGCGTGCATCCTTGGCTGGAAATTGGGCCTCGCCGCGGGAACGGAGCGCGTGATAGCAGGGGAGGGGGGGGGGTATGTCAACGTGCCTGTTGATAGCGTTGGTGTCAGACACCCAGGCCTCTAACAGTTCTCGTCCTGTCTTATTGCTGGCCCGCGCCACTATCCGCGTGCTCGCAAAGTTGAATTCGTGGCCTTCCTCCAGGGTGTGAGTGGCGACCTGAGACAACGGGTCGCCTCTCCGGACCGCCCGTTTGTGCTCCGTTATTCGTGAGCTAAGTCGTCGTCCGGTTTGTCCAGTGTAGTGGCAAGGGCAGTCCCGACATGGGATCTGATAGACGACGCCCGATTGTTCACCCACGTCTAGACGATCCTTCACTTGCATGATTTTGCTGCGCATGGTCGCTGTCGGACGGTGAGCGATACCCACGCCGAGCTCTCCAGCGATACGTTCCATCGCTTCGGGTACGTTCTTTATATATGGCAGAGGGTGCCAGAGTGTTGGCGGCTCTCCTCCGTTTGTTCGCCGTGGGCGCGTGCGGAGGCAGCGGCTGACGAAGCTGTTCGGGTATCCATTCCTTGCCAGTTGGGTCCGAAGATGCCGAAGTTCTCGTACTCGTCCCTCTGGTTCACTGCAGTGCGTTTTTACCCTCTGGAAGAGTGTCCTAACACAGCTGCGTTTATGCGCCATTGGGTGGTTACTGTGGTAGTTGAGAATCTGAGTCGTGTTAGTCGCCTTTCTGTACACCGTGGTGTTGAGTTCGCCGTTGGGTGTGCGTGTGACGAGAACGTCAAGGAACGGCAGCTGTTCGGCATGCTCTTCTTCCCTTGTGAACTGAATGTCTGGGAAGCTGCCGTTGAGCAGGTCTTGGAAGTCGGCCAGTCTGCTCCTTTCAATTATGACGAACGTGTCGTCCACGTACCGGCGCCAAAATGCAGGTTCATAGTGGTCGAAGGCGACTTTTTCCAGTTCCTGCAGGACTAGTTCTGCAACCAGGCTGGATATTGGCGAACCCATCGGCGTTCCTTTGATCTGCTCGTATGTTCTGCCATTGAAGGTGAAGAAGGTTTGTTGGCAGAAAGCAAACAGTTGCAGTAAGTGGCCGATTTTTAGGGGTTTGTTCGTCTCGTCGTAATTCTCTTCGAGTCGTTTGCGAAGAACGTCGAGTGCCAGGTCCGGTGGGATGGACGTGAATAATGAAATCACGTCAAAGTACGCCATAATCTGCTCCGGTCGGACAACTTTTCCTCTGGATTTATATATTTGAGGCAGCGTATTGACGTTCATCGAGCCACAGTAGGAACATTAAGAAAGATGCACATCTCACTTTCGATATACGTTTACCAAATGTGTTTTTTGGGCGTGTAAAGTCAGAAGGACACCAAGCCGGGGTAGAGGGGAGGGATTTAAGAGCGATTTCGTCATTGTTTCGTAAAAATAATCGGAAGCCGCGTAGTTACTTACGTATTTCCAGGGGATATTCGTCCACATCAAATAAAACTGTCGGTCGCCCATAAGTTCAACGCTTTCAGCTTCTTGTTGTTTGGGATTCTCGCGATGTGAAAAAACTGTCTTCTATCCCCAGTGTTCTCCTTTTTATGAAATGTAAGCTCTGGAGACCATCTATCGGGATCCGAACACTGCTTGCAGTTCTTAATGCTTATTTCGACACTTGCTGTTGTTCTGTTGCCTCATTCGGGAGCGAAGCAGGCGCGGGTTACCGAAAACGGCTGCGAAGTCGGTGGTTCTGTGGAACTGCTGTCTGGGATATTCGGAGCAAGGATTAGGTCGTGTGTGGAACGCGTAGACGACCCGTTTGGCCTTGTCAGTCAGCACTCTCACATCCACCCCCCGGTGGTCTTGACACGGTTTCGTCCTCGCAGTAATGCGGGAGGGGGAGGGGAATGGTGAAGTAGATTCCTCGCAAGTCTGCTGTGTCACAATAAGCTGATTCAAACGCAAGTTACTAGTGCTGCGCCCACTCCGTGAGGCGTGCTGTGCAAACTGTTATTTGCTATTTGTCGATTTGTCACCACTTGTGTGAAAAAGAGGGACTTCGAAGTTAGGCTGTTCCAACTTCATTTACCAGCCGTAATTATATGCGGCCGGAAAAAACGAGAGGCAGCTGGTCCCTTTTGTCCGTCATACAGTTTAAATGCCTCTAGTAGGTGTGAAAAGTGTCCGGACTTTACAAAGGGTCACTCTGTGAGGCTTCATCCTATTGAGTTCGGGCAGGAGGTGTTAAAAGGTCTTCACTTTATATTCTGAGATAACTCGAGATGTCAAAATTTGACCCATTGAAACTGCAGATTTTAAAATGAAATGAAATACTCTCGGCAATGATAACATCATAAGAAGTGGATCTCTTGGGAATTTACATTGCTGACGGACATGTATTTTCCTCAGTGCCGTAGTTGATTTTAAAGGTATGGGCTACCTTGATTAGGGCAGGGGGGTGATTTTTTGTACTGTGTGTTTATTTTTGCTCCTAAAGCCGGCCACGCGGTAAATGCGCTGGAACAAGACTTGAGCTAAATCACGATCCGACAGGCGTTAAAGGTAATGCACAACCGTAACAGATGCCAACATCGGGGTGGGATGAAACGCCAAGTTGCAAGCCCACGCGGCGTCAGTCGGGATCCGTGCTGCCCTTATTTTTTATTGCGGCATGAAACCCTGATCAGTGCACTTTGTGGACCAGAGGACATGGTGGTACGCCTAGGAGCGGGTATTCGCAGTGCCAGCCACCTGCACCCTCTTCCGTCTCCGGTCTTCTAAACTATGTCTTGACACTGGAGTCAAGTGGGAGAGGAGGGGGAGGGGGTGTGGCAGATAGGGCGTAAAAATAAAACCCATGCGCAAGTCCCCGCCCCTGCTCTACTTGTGCTGTGGAACAGACAGCTGACATTGTCGGTCACGACAGTCGAACTGTCGTGTCTATCTGCTGGAAAGTTTGCCGAGTCTGTGGAAAGCGGTATTCTTCAGCTCGGGAATCGCCGTGAACATTCATTCAGGAACCTCATTTTGACGCTGTCTTGTGAGGATGCGTCCACGTGGAATGGGGACGCTAATTTAATGCTAAGGCATGTGCAGTTCAGCAGAGCCTTTCCGTATGATCAATGGGAATGGTAGGGGTGCTGACTGATCATACTTTACGGAACTCACTCGTCCCGTTGTGCCTTACGGGCTCTCTCTCGAACCCAACCAGCAGCCGCACAGCGCCGCATGATATAGGTAACGGGCTCGTGGCCCAGTGGTTAGAGGCGTGGACTTCTAACTAGCAGGTCGCGAGTTCGAGCCTCGGGTGTTCCACACTTCGGGGTTGGGTGTGACTGGCTGACGACGGCCAATAACTCAAAAATGATCATTCCAGTCTCCCTTTTCTTTGTCGGTAATAACATACTATCAATGAAAATAATTTTTCCTGATGTTCTATCGGCCCCTCTGGTGAGTCGACCATTTGTCATATATGACAGTTCGTCGTAATAGAGGGTAAATGAGAACAGATACGTGTTTTGTCGATATTCCGCCGCAGCATGACTCAGATGCGAGGTGCTCGGTGCATCAGCGAGTCCTCAAAGTCCCTCAGTTTAATTCGCCTCTTGGAATAGGAGTTTCCCACAGGCCTGACTAAGTAGCTCGCAGGTAAGTGAGGCGGCCAAAATAATTTAATCCTAATCTGCGAAGTCGTTCGTTGTCTACCGACTGCGGTGTAGCTGCAGGATGTGCAATTACGTTGGAGAAACTGGCCGATGGGTACAAAGCGCAAATGCATGAGCATCAGTTGGCCGTGCGGAGGTTGGACTCAAAGTCTGAGATGGCAACCCACGCCGCGCATATACGATACATCTCCAACTTTGACTTCAGTCAGATCGTCGGCCGAGGCGATGATCACAATATAAGGCGGTTGCAAAATGCCTGGAAGCCCACCGACTACTCAGTCAACTACCACATTTATTTGCCATAATCGATCTGGGTTTTATGAATCTTCTCGGCAGGTGCCTGTCACAGTCGACGTCTCCGGTTATATCCGCGGTTAACAGGAGCGGCACGATACAGGCCAGAGATAAATGCGGATCCGATGCAGCCCTATAATCGGTGTTGGCGTGCTATGCATCAAACAAAGTGCGCCATGTACAGTGCGTGACCGATCTCATGAAATGTTGGCTGAAATTCTGCGATACATTTTCAATTAGGAAGGATCACTTATGCACGATTGTAATACTTTTTATCTTGTGACATAATTCTATAATATTTCGGACTCGGGAGGATGTTAACGATTGAACGTACTGCTTTTCGATCGCCTGCAGAAGCCGTGGTCTTACTGGAGAACGCGTAGAAAATAATGGGTATGCTAACTGTAAACGCATTTTTTAGAAAGACTAATGAAGTGTAAGCATACTACTGTTGACATATGTTAGCTAATAAAAACGTGACCGCGCTGAAAATACACGCCCGCGGTAGGTTAGCCGTAAACAATCGGCCGAAACTTTGGTGCCGACGGACTTATAGGCACGACAAAATCACTTGAGGGGCCAGAAGACCAATATCAGTGGTCATTTCGTCAGACTTCTTTCACTAGGCAGAAATAACCTGGGCTTCTAACTCATGAGTCAAAGGTTATGCCTATGTCAGAAAGGTGGGAACTATCCGTGGTCAATACATTCAAGGTGAACTGTTGTTGCGGTGCGTTATTTTAAGTTCTGCTTAGATAAACGTCGACTTTTATCATCCGGTAGACTGACTTGGATCCAGGAAAACAAGGTTTCACTAACCAAATGTTTCAGTTTCTCACCCGAACTCGTCACTGAAGGCAGTATCCGGTAAAGGTTCTGTTGGCATACAGTTGGTGGGCTAACTCACGAAATGTCAGCTGAAATTTCGAAATTAAGTAGGCTTGTAAAACTAATCATCGTGCAGCATAAATCTATAATAATTCAATTCATCAAGATGACGGCTTTCAAACGAACTTCTTTTCGACCGCACTCTGCAAATATGACTGATACGTAACATGAATTTTGCTTATTGATTTTCGATGCCCTTAAACATTCAATTATAATTCATGGAAAAAATGCAGAAAAATATTCATTATTTTGCTCATTCGGCAGAAGATGGCGAGTTTTTCCAATTTTATGGTCAAAGGAAGGATATAATTTGGTTTTATAAAAGTTTCTAATTGTGCGATTTGTTAAAACCGTAACATGGCTGACCATAAAACGGCATGGCTCTGAATTTACTAATGTGGCTTGTAAAGATAACAATATGGCTCAAAGCCACTGATAAATTTTATGAACTCAACATGGTTTTCTTTAAATACCACAGAGGACTGTATGGTTTTCATATGCAAAAAATATACAGCTTGTAATTTTGAAACCCTGAATGCAAACGTAACTGAAAATTAGGTTCAGAATTATTCGGGAAGTGAAAAAGTTTTATAAAACCAAACTATACCCTTCCTTCGAGTATAAAGTTAAAAGAAGATGTAGTTCTCTGCTGGATGAGCAAAAGAATGAAAATTTTTATGTATGTTTACCATGAAATATAGTTGAATTTTTACGGGCATCGAAAATCAAGGAAAAAAACATTCTACCTAAGTAGCCATTTTTTGCGGAGTATGGTTTTTGGATGAAACCAAAAAGAAGTTTGTTCGAAACCTGGCATCCTGGAGTAACTGAATTTTTATAGAATTATGCTGCATGATGATTGGGTTTACAACCTCACTCAAATAATATTTTTGAAATGAAAACGCATTTTGGAATGTCTGTTGAGATTTCATTAGTTTGCCCACTTACTGGACTTGTGCCAGCAGTAGCCGTTTGAACCGTTGAGTAGGCGATTTTGTCCTAAATTCCTCGTGCTGCATCTTTTACCCGGTTCCAACTTTAACCCTAACCCCAACGCTTACCTCCCTTTAGAATGCAACGGATGGACACCTATAATGAGGGGAGTACCTATAACCATGCTCTACCCACTGCCTTTATCTGACGATGGCTTCGAGAGAGAATCTGGAAAGGCAAACGAGCACATTTTTTCTTCTTAACTGCTTCTTAGGATTCGCATTGTCATTTTCTTTTACTAGTGAGCGAGAATATCATGGAAAGTTTGTTTCGTCCTAAACTTCCACAATAACGGATGGAGGAATGGTTGAATTGGGAGGATTCGAGAGCGTGAGGAGGAATTTTGATCTCCGCTGTAGTGGATTGATACAGATGCTTAAAGGC